TCACATGGAACCAGATAAAGAAATAAAACATTTTAGAAGAGAATGCAGCATCACAGTTGTCTGGACCAATAAGCATTAAGTTGTGTTGTCAGTCAGTCGTTTCCCATAATGCTTTTGATCAGCGCAGTCGGTGGAGAGCAACTGCTCAATCCGACACAGCCGCCTCGCCTTTGCACACGTCAGCATGACATCAGAGCAAGTCGGACGTAACTCGGACACTTTTCTAACCGGCGTGCATCTCGCGGTGATCACCGGTGATCGGTTCTGCGCAGATTTTGCTCATCTCAAACAAGCCTATTGATTCACTCCCGAATCGGTCCTTATGATTCACAATGAACAGAGAACTTATCAGAGCTGATTAAATAGTATATTTTTATATTTAATTATATTTCGCATTATATTTAATATATATAATTAGTGGTGTTGTACGGTTATATTTAGGTTCAGGGTCATCTAAAATTATAACAGACACCCATAATAAAAATGTATATGAAGGAAAGTATCGTGTTAAGTAGGCCTATGTACCATGATATACAAGAATAGCTGAACTGATTTTCTGAACCGATTGTGTTCGAAAGAAGCGTTTACTGGAATTGATTCGAAGCTTTACTGGGTATCACGTTTTAAGATGCCTCCATGTCCATCACACGTCCAAATGGAAAGGCCCCGCCCAACAATTATAAAAGTGTGCATGTCATTAGCCATCCATCAGGCAAAGAGGGACAAGCGCAAGATGGAAAGGGAAGCACAATCATCCAAAGGCCCAGGAAACAACAGTGCAGCTTGTAGGTGGGTATGTTCTTCAGTTTAGTGTGCAGATCAGTGGTTGTTGGATTGTTGCAGTGCCACCAAGCAAACAATTAGGGAAGTAATATATCAAGACAAAGATCTGCAAATATATACGAATTGTGAGACCCAAGTCTCGTTTGTATAGATGTCTCCCTCCAAATTCGCTGTTTAATCTATAGAAAAGACACGGGCGGCCCTGGTTGGTCAGCGCGCGTTCTGCGTGACGTGGTCTCCAGCGCCTCTCTCTCTCTCTCTCTCTCCAATCCGTTTACTTGCGCCAACAACTTCATTAAATCAAGTTTTTGGAGGCTCTCAAAATGGATCGGTATCGCACACCGTGTAGACAGTCGAGAAAAGGCAGCTCAAATGTGGAAAGAGAAGTCTGCAGGTAGTTTCGTGTTTTCGACTGGATGAAAAGTTCGTTTTTTAGCCCCGATCATCTGTTTGAAAGAGTGACTTTTCCTGCTTTAACGTTTCTCGGCGCCGATGTTTACATCCGGTTAAGGCAGCGAGCGATTTGTTTTTGTTGTAGTAGAAGGACTATTGCAATTACAACAGACATCATGATATTTGTTGTACTTTTGAACTGCAACGTAAACGTTAGTTTGAAAAGACCGTTGCGATATTTGTTGGTTCATAAACGTGTAAAGTCCTACAGTTCCCGTGTAACTTACTACCGTAGTCAATAACACTGGGTTCAAAACTGCTTCTTTTTTTCCTCTTTTTTTTTTTTTTTTTCATTAAATGCTGCAGCTTTTCGAGAACTTGTGAAATACATGTGCTGCAGTTGTCAACAAATATATGTAATGGGCGTGTTGTTGTGTTTTGCAGGCAGTTCATCAATGGATCTTGTCGCTATGGTCCGAGTTGTTACTATCTGCATGAGTTTCCTGCAGTACCTCCGTTTCAGGTTCAGTGTAGGTACTTCCAGAAAGGTGGCTGCTGGTTTGGTGATCGTTGCAGGTAAGGAGCCAGCTGGCCTTTTTTGAACATATGTTATTAGAAAAGCGGTTTACGAGTTGCATGTCTTGCAGGTATCTCCACGTTTCTCAAGCGGGTGAAGGTTCTTCAGGGAGCAGCAGACGCGGTTCAGCACCTGCGGGGTTCTTCTCTGCGCTGGCGGGCCGTTCTCTGGCTGACCGCCGAGGATCTGAGCCCTCTCTTCTCCCACCTCAAGGAGCCCGCAGCCTGAATCGGAGGGGTTCAGAGCCTCTGGTCACAAGTATGAGCGTGCTGCAGCAGAACTTTGAATGCTTGACTACAGGCATTGCAGAGGAGGAAGAGTTCGGTGTTGTGGAAGATGGACCTCCCCAGCAAGGTATTACGGTTTATTCACACTTTTCTTTTAAACTACACATCACATTTTCCTTTTATGAATTGAATTTTGTTGTCCTCTTCAGGTGCAATGAGACCACTGCAACAAATCAGTGCTACAGACTCCAGTTCTTCGCATAACTACAGCTCATCAGCCTTTGTGCCTGGCGCAGCACCTGCTGAAGTCCAAAATGTAACCGTGTCTGAAGCAGAAATGCAGGTCACAAACACTATATTCCTTAGCTCCTTGACTGCTCTATTTGGAGATCATAGGCTTGGGTTTAATTAAATATTATTGGATTAGGTGACCGGTTCACCAGAGAGACCAAATCAGGGTGGTGCTGCAGTATTGACGGAGCAACAGCATTCAAGGGCCTTAGACCAAAGCAAAGATGTGGCCTGTGGCATCTGCATGGACAAGATTTCTGAGAAATCCACCACTCCAGAACGGCGTTATGGCATCCTACCCAACTGCAATCATGCTTTCTGCATCAGCTGCATTGTTACCTGGCGAAAAACAAAGGACTTCCAGGAGGATGTCATCAAGTGAGGTTTTCTTTTCTTTCTGATTCCGCTTCTCCCTTTTGCGTGTATAAAACTGTATATATGTATATTAATTAAGTTTCTTTTTGTTTAATAATTTTTTAATAATTATGTAAACAGGGGCTGTCCACAGTGCAGAGTGAAATCCTCCTTTTACATTCCCAGCAAGCACTGGGTCTGTGATGGGGAGGAAAAGGCATCATTGATAGCCGCTTTCAAAGAAAGAAGCAGGTTAGAATGGTTCACATTCATGCTGTCAAATCTTTTGTAATGGTTTATTTGATCCTTTACGTTGATTCTGGAGTTTTGTTTATCTCTAGTAAGTTAAAGTGCACTTTCTTCATGCGTCACGGATGCTGCCCCTTTAAATCGGAGTGTATCTACAGCCATGACATGCCCCCTAATCATACACACCGTTGCAGGCGCTCGGCATCCAGGGTAATGTTTAACTAATTTTATTTTATTTTATTTGTGCATGTTATGTTCCATGTTTGTAAACTACAATTTGTTGTGCCTTTTTTATTTTTTTTTATAAATAAGTGGGAAATGTTCACTATGCTGCATTGCAGTGCTAAGCTTGCTGTATTTAACATCATCAGTTAGCCATTTTAATCTGAGTTGTTTTTAGGACACAGCTGAGATGTTGGAGGATTTGGGCATTGATGGCATCCACCTTTGGAGCTATATCTTTGCCCTAACTCTGCTGGATGAAGACGACGAAGACCTTCTGGATTTTCTTGATGACTAAGGACCTTCTAGAGTCATGTATATGTTGGCTCAGCTTTGAGTGAACTTTGCTTATCTTCTGCACTGAAATCTAATGGTCTCTTTAGGGTTGGCTTCACTTTAGCAAGTCCTAAATGTTTGGCTAATTGTTTAGCCATGTAGATTTACTTTTTTTTTTTTTTGTGTGTGTGTGTGTGTGAGAGAGTGAAAGTCTTTTGCCTTTAGTTTAAGGGAGTGTGTGGGGGAAAAAGTTTGAATGCTCAAATCTCAAACTGAGTGTCTCTTCAGGTTTAGTTGGGGAGAAACTTAGGCAAAAAAAGTTAATGTTAACTGAATGCATGATCACTTATTTCAGCTTGCTTTTCACTTGTTGATCGTTTAGTACTTCCATCTGGGCTGATTCCTGATTGTTGCAACCTTTTGTCTGATACCTTTTATATGAAATCAGATTTTAATTTTGTATACTTTGTGTAGTAGTTAATATTATTGCCAGTATTTGCAAAACACTAAATGTGCAACCTGTCAGCAGGCTTTTGATTATATTGTTCTCTTCAGCAGTGTTAACAGGTTATACCAGGACTTGATGTCACATTTTATTACTTTTAGTATGTGTTTATATTCAAAGAAAAGTGAAAATAAAAAAAGTTCCACTGTTTGCCTTACTTGATCCTCTCGGTCTCTTTAATTTGTATATGTGCTGCCACAGATGCTTTGAGGAGGGTGGGGGCACTCTGGAGAAGTTGTATTTTCTACAAATAATTCCATTTTAAATTAGGATGACACTATGGCAAAACCGGTTCAGAATGTCGCCCTAGGGCTTTTCTATTGTAATTCCGCTCCAAACCTGCAGGAGTCTCCACTGTACAATAAGCGTTTGTTTAGAGCCACATAAAGAACTGATCCGAAACTTTGTACACAACTTCCTTGAGCTTTCAGCAGTGTTATGATCCGTCATTGTTTTGATAATAAATATATCTGCTGTGTCTGGGCGGACCGCTACGGATATCATTTTGATAAATGACAGTAGTAGCAGGCTTCGTCGGTGATGTCCGATATCTGTGATTGCGCTCCAGTGATGGATCTGAAGGCTCTGGTGCAGCGTTTTGACGGACGGGCCCGGTTGCTGGTTCACGCACTGCATTCAGGAGCAGCCGGAGTGAGCAATGCGCAGACAGTTTTCAATAAACAGCGCAGATCTGATCCAGATTACACCCTCACTCAGTTTTTGGAAACTTTGTGCCAGTGGGAAGCATCTGTGCACGAGCACGCTCTCGTTCTGTGAGTAGACCGTCACAACGCAAGATGGGTGCGAAATGGTCCTAATTCTGTTGAGAATAATGTCACCAGGCAAACAGTCATAGTTATGAAATATTTTACTACTTCACAGATTGTTTTTTACCACCTTCACCTGTAACTGTCTAGTGATGTATGAAAAAAGTGGACTGGAGTTTAGTATAGGCTAAATAAAAGGTTCAACTCGACTGCGTTAAGATATGTGGCAAAATTCGTAACATTTTTAACGTGATTTTCTTTTTTTGTAAATCAATGCCTCAAAAGCCTGTTCATATATATATATATATATATATATATATAATCATTTGCATATATGCATATAAATATATAATCATTTGCTCTAATCAACTAAACAGTTGATTATGCAATCGTTATTTAAAGAATAAAATGGAAAATAAAATCAATATTTTGAATTAAAAGTCATTTTGAATATTGTTTTGTGTTTCTATTATATTCCTATTGTGTTGTGAAATATGTCCCTTGCCTCTTAAGGGTTAAAGATCCGTCTATTGTTAAATAATACACTGAATTCGTTTGGGTGAGTAATTCTTCTCTTTTGTTTTACAGTAAACCTTTGGTGTGCCTGTTTTCTGAAGGCTTTAAGCGAAATCTGCTGTGTTTTCTACATCTGATTCACCCTGGACTGCCCAAAGACCGTGTTCTTTCCCTGCTTCAGTGTCTGACTCAGGATGACGTGGAAAATCAGTGGACTTGTGCCTTAATCAAGCAGCTCCAAAGAGATATTGAGGGCACTAGGAAAGGGACCCTCCTCACCTCAAACTGTACGGGGAAACTAAAGAGTCTCTGTGAGAGATTCAGGAATGCTAATGCAAAGGGAAGATGGGCCTCTTGTTTTGAGGGGCTTGGAGCAGAGGGTAAAGAGACCAAAGTGCCAGTTTATTCTCAGAAAAAGAGAAAAAGCGACAACATGGATCATGATGGAGATGCCCAGGAAGATCACCAAAGTAAAAGGGTAAAGATGGATTTCTGTCCAAGTGAAGAAGAAGAAGAGAGGTTGACTGAAGAGGAGGAACCTAAAATGAGAACATCACAGCTGGACCAAAGTGCTGCTTCTGTATCACAGGCTCGCTCTGATGCGTTGGGGTCTTCAAAAAATCTGCCAGACCACATGAAGGTAAAGTGGAATTCACTGCAGTTAAACTGATTTTTCATGCTCAGAAATAGCCTATTTTCCACAATTTGACAAGTAAAAGTTCACAGACAGTTGCACAGATAGGTTGTTAAAATCTCTTCATGTAGAAACCTCAGAAAAGTTGCTGTTCTTCAGGATAAATAAATGATCGATTCGTGTTCTTGTCAGATTTTTTTTTTTTTACATTTTCACATTCCCTTTTTAGGCTGCTGTTCCCGTGATCAGAGAATTACTAGATACAGAGTCAGCGGTAAGAAATCTTTGTTTTATTATGCCAATGTAATTGCTTTTATCTTTTCTTTTGGTATAATTTTTTAACATATTTATTTTTTCCTTCACAGTGGGACGAGAGCTCTGGGTTTGCTCTGAAAGTATTTCATGAATGTGACCCCAATGAGGTTTGTGGTGTTTTACTTGAAAATGAACTGCTTTTTAGGTTTGTTATCCAGAAATGTTTCCATCACTATGGATTTGTTGTATCTGATCACAGGTGGAGGTATTGTGTTCAATGCTGTGTTTGTCAGAAGCATCTGACCAGAGTTTACCTCAGTTCTGTAGCTGGCTGTTGGAACTGTCGCCAGACCTCAGTCACAGCACTGCTTGTGCTGTGATCACACACCTTCTGCTGCCAAAAGTTAGTACAATACATTCATGTTTGTCACAGGATACGATTTAAAAATGATTTTAACCAATATACTACTGTTTAAAATTTTGGCATTGGGAAATTAAATAATTTTTATTCAGCAAGTACTATTAAATTCATCATAAGTGACAGTAATAAATACTTGAACTTTCTATTGATCAAAAAAGCTTGATAAAATGTAAATCATAATTTCCACAAAAATATTAAGCTACACAACACTTTGCATTATTGATAATAATAAAAATATTTCTTGAGCTGCAAATCAGCATATTAGAATGATTACTGAAGGGTCGTGTGACACTGAAAACTGGAGTAATGGCTGCAGAAAAAAAATAAGCTTTGAGATCAAAAGTATAAATTTGATGTAACAAAATAGAAAACAGTCATTTTAAATTGTAATAATATTTCACAATATTATTTTGTTTACTCTATTTGTGATCAAATAAATGCAGCCTTAGTGAGCATAAGTGACTTTTTGTAAAAACAAGAATCGGACCAACCTCAGACTTTTAAACTGTAGTGTGTATGGGTGTTTAGCTCCTTTTATGGTTATTTATGCATTTCTCTGCCTTAGATTCTGTCCCTCGCAGAACCTGCCTCTCGCTGTTTGGTAACAGCCATAATATCTCTTTGCAGTCGTTACCCCAGGCCAACCTGCCAGGCTCTGATAGAGCCAGTTTTACAGAAGGGACAAACTGGTATGAGTAGGTTTTTTCACCTGGATATCAAATATGCACCATTCATATTTATACATTTAATATATCAGATCTTTTTTCTGTAAACAGTAATTGCATTTTTTGTTTAGGAAGCGCCCAGGCAGAATTACTCTGTAAACTAGTAGTGAACTGCCTTGAGCCACATCACAGGCTTTTTGTATTCCGGTCAGTCTGAATATCGCAATTAAGCTTTAAGAAGGAAATGGGTCTTAGTCATTTATGGAATAAATTGTGCTCGAGTAATTTGACACGGTTTAGCTGATCACAGAAATTTGCTTGCAAATCTTAGAGCAATACTTGGAGTGTCCTGGGATGAGGGAGTGTTATCAGTCATCCATGCATTGCTGGATTCAAAGGTACTTCAGAAAGCTCTTTCCAATCTTAAAGGATCTTTTAGTCTCATGTTAATGGTTTCTGTTGTTATGCGTACAGCTTGAGCTGAGTGAGAAGGATTTCTCTCTCTTCACCGATCAGCTTTGCAGCCAGTCTCCACATTTCAGCAAATCTATGAAGTTTGCCAAGATGTTGCTGAGTGTCTTGACCAAGTATCAGTCACATGTGAGTATAACTGTAATGACGGGAAATAACTCATTCAGATAGTTAAAAAAAAAAACGCCTCAACAAAACCTTATATTAAGGAGAATTGTATGGTCCTCAGAGCATCTTTAGTTCTACAAAACCCAATTCGCAATTTACAGAGGCATATGATAGTAACCAATAAACATCAGATTAATAAATATCTAGATGTTAAAATGTTTTTTTTTTAAAGCTAGCATAAAACTGCTGATTAATTAGTTTTATTTTATTTTTTTTACATTTCAGGTGAATCCTGCATGCCACCACACACTTTCCAGTTGCCTGTCTTTCAATGAAACCTTCCTCAAGAAATCATTGCAGGCTGCATTAAAAAGGATTTCCCTGTGAATCATATTATGCCCATTTTAAATGGCACTTTAGTATATGAGTTTCATTCAATCTGATTGTATAATTTTGTGAATATATTTTGTAAATGTAATAATTCCTTTGTACTGTATAGTTGTATTGAGATAAAAAAATATAAATTGAGTTGAATTACACTTCATATCAATATTTATTTATATTATTTATTCAACTTATTTTTTTCAATTAAACGGTCTGATTCATATTATTTAAATGTAATGTCCTGGACACATTTGAATGCTTTAAGGTGAATTATTGTATTATTGTATATTACTTATTGTATGTGTGTGTGTATATATATATATGTATATATATGTATATATATGTATGTATATATATATGTATATATATGTATATATATATATGTATATATATGTATATACACAGGCTTTATTGAATCTCCCTGCAGCAGTGAACTGTACATTATTTTGTTTTCTTTCCTTCAGTAGGAGCGAATGTGTTAATGTTTTACTGCAAAATATATATATATATATATACATGCATATATAATGTAATTATGCATGGCACACACTTTTTTTGACACATTAAAAACAATAGTTTGTGAAATGTAAAGTTCTCTTCTGGTTACATTTCTATTGCCACAACAATCATGGCGGCTTTGGAAGTCCGTTTTTCACACTCGGGCGCATATATTCGGCGCAACTTCCTTTCATATTTCCTTTTTCGAGCTCAGTGAGAAAGGAGAGGCGTCACGGCAAAATGAGGCACGTGAGAAATGTTCATATATAATGTATTAAAATCTTTGCACATTTTTATTTCACCGTTTAATAGATATATGAGCAAATATATCATTAAGCAATGTCAGTCGGAGACACTGGAGATTTGATTTCGTTGTCAACCTCGAGCAGCTCTTGAGAGAGAACGTACCGCGCAGCATAGCGGGTTATCTGGAATACAATCCGGTTGGATCCGACGATTAGTTAACTTAATCAGAAATTAATCTTGTTCTAACTGTTATTATTCATATCTAACCTAAGTAATATCGATATATTGATGTTTGTTTAACGGAGTTTGGAGGCGTGTTAATGATTCATTCACTGGTCAGTCTTGTGTAATCATCGCGATATATGCACTCGAGGCACTCGGAACAAACTGTAGTCATGCAAGTAATCATTGTAATTATTTATTTTTTTAACAGCAAGGTCTCAAGAGACACATTGTACGAGGCTGTTCGGGAGGTCCAGGCTGGTTCCCGTCTTAAGAAGCGAAAGTAAGATTCCGGTCATGGTGTGCTTCATTAGCTGACAGCATAAGGCCACATAAACATTTATAGTATCTATTTTTGTCGTATTTTTATTATTTTTTATTGCTAGCAATTATTTAAATTGTGGACAGCTTTTGTTTTTAGTTGTTTAGTGCCATTGTGTAGAAATTGAGATTGATACTGGCATCTTCTACTTCACTGTGTACTACGTACTACTGTCTAATAAATACGTACTAGTGAAGCTTGAACATATACTTGTAGCTCTTGGTGTAGTTACCAGTAACTAAGTATGTAGTAGTAGTAGCAGTAGTCTCTTGAGTAGTTAATAATGAACTGAATAATAACTATTAGGGACCAGCAACAATTGGAATTCAAACTAGTTAAATGTGAGTGGCTTATCTCTTTTTTTTTTTTTTTAAACCAGTAGTTATGGAATAGTCACTGGAGTAGTGATTAGTAGTCACTAGTACTATTGAAAGTTAATTTCTGGTCAACACAAACCAGTTACTGCGTTACTTGATAGTAGTTAAACGGCTACTTGTTCAATTAATAAATGTTTGCCATAAAAAATTAGCCTATGCTTAAATATAAGCTGTATATTAGTTAACAGCCCCAAGTGTTTAACCTCAGTATGTAGCAGTTACTTGCATACAAGATATTTATAGTGGCTTTTATATTTAAGGTTTCTTGAGACTGTGGAACTGCAGATCAGCTTGAAGAACTACGATCCCCAGAAGGACAAGCGTTTCTCAGGCACTGTCAGGTTCGGACCTTTACTGTATCACCCAGCCTTCTGTCTGCCTGCCCTTTGCTCTGCCTGAATAAATATCTGGATATCTTGACATGAATTTAATAATTCAGTCAATTAAATTTCATGAATGAGGAGGTTAAAGGCAGGCAGTAGAGAACAGCCTCGGGTAGTCTGTCTGAACCATCCATTCTCTGGATTGGTGAAGCAGGCGGACCCCTACCCTGGGTCTTAAAACATGAGGGGAGGCTATAGGTGACGGTGTTCATGCCGTCATACCTAAGCCGACCATTTTGTTAAGTGCCTGTGCTATCAACACCTGATTACAGCTGAGGTGGTATGGGTAAGACTCTTCTGTTCTGCCTCGCGTTGGTCAAAAGGGGTCTGATATGCTTCTGTTTGTCAGTCAGTGTTTTCCGTCACCCCTCGCAGGCTGAAGACCACCCCACGTCCCAAGTTCTCCGTGTGCATCCTTGGTGACCAGCAGCATTGTGATGAAGCCAAGGCTGCTGAGCTTCCACACATGGACATCGAGGCTCTTAAAAAGCTCAACAAGAACAAGAAAATGGTCAAGAAGCTGGGTGAGTTTCCTTTCGAGGGAACATTAGCAATAAAACATGCATGTGTTCAGTGCCATAGTTTATGTTCTGGATTGAGTGTACATATTAATGCATCTTGTTGGTTCTCTTTTTAGCAAAGAAGTATGATGCTTTCCTGGCTTCTGAGTCTCTGATCAAGCAGATTCCTCGTATCTTGGGACCTGGCCTCAACAAGGCAGGAAAGTTCCCCTCTCTTCTCACCCATAACGAGAACCTGGCCACCAAGGTGGATGAAGTGAAATCCACCATCAAATTCCAGATGAAGAAGGTATGCTTTTATTAAAGAGTTTGCTTTTACTCAGCAATGGACACATTAAATTGATCAAAAGTGACCGTACAGACATTTGTAATTTTTCCTTAAGACTTACATTTTAAATAAATGCTGTTTTGAATTTTCTATTGATAAACAATTCTGAAAAAAAATGTATGACTTTCCACAAAAATATGTAATGTAGTAATGACTGCTCTCAAATTCAGCTTTGTCGTCACAAGAATAAATGACATTTTAAAAAGTAGAAAATGTTTTTTTTCCCTTTTAATATATTATCCCAATATTACTGTTTTTACTGTATTTTTGTTCAAGTAAATGGAACCTTGTTGAGCATAAGAGACTTCTTTCAAACACATTTTTAAAAATTCATACAGACCCCATATTTTCTAAAGAGTATATTACAAATTGTAATATGTTGTACATGCTGATTGAGAGGCTTCATTTTAAGAACATCTGAATTTGTATTACTTGAAGTTGATAATGGTCTTCTGTTACGTTCAGGTTCTGTGTCTGGCTGTGGCCGTTGGTCACGTCAGGATGACTGAGGAAGAGCTGGTCTACAACATCCACCTGGCTGTGAACTTCCTGGTGTCTCTGCTGAAGAAGAACTGGCAGAATGTCAGAGCACTCTACATCAAGAGCACCATGGGAAAGCCACAGCGCCTCTATTAGAGACTGTTCCTCAAATTTATACAATAAATGTGGAGTTGATCCAAATCTCGTCTGTTTTTGTGTCTTTCCTAATGTCCTTTCAAATGAGTGCTCTTTCTACATATGCTCATTTGATCAGTATTATTGTGAAAGTTGCACAAATTGATTAGAATTGTGTCTCAAAGGTTTGTAGAACATTTATAGACTGTAAGGAGGCTGTGTAGTGCCATGGAGTTCTTAGAAAAAGCTTGATGTAAAACTGCTTCACATGCATAAATGCATGAATTTTATATTCAATTGGTTAAAACATTAAAGGCAATTTTGCGAGATGTCTCACCTTCATGGTGTATTGTAGCATGCACACCAAGCTAAGTATATTTTGCAGCTGTGTTTTGTAGCTTTAATTTTCGCTCCATTCTGGTTTTGTTATACTAGTGTCTTTGGCAGCCATGACTTGTCTAAAACAGCGTCATTAGTCTGCCAGTTTCCTTGACCATCTCTTAATGAGATTAAGTATTGTCTGTTAGGAGTAAGGAGAGGTGGAGAGCAAGAAATCACAGCAAATGTCATGGTAAGCAAGCATTTGCCTTTATTTTCTATACTTTGTGGATGTTACCTTGAGCAGTAGCAGTAAATCTGCATGTGAGATGGGTGATTATTGAGGTTGGACTGAATTTAAGTCTAAGTAGATGGCTTTTGTTCATAGACAAGAATATGTAGGTAGAATTCATAACTTGTGTAGAAAACTTGTTTTTAATGTTTAAAACAAATGTAAAACACCCCCGGTTTCACAGACATGGCTTAAGCCTAGTTCTAGACTAAAATGTAAGTCTGAGCTGTTTCAACTGAAAGAAACTTGCACTGACTGATCTTAAAATATATTAGTGCCTTTGTTTTGTCTCAAAAAGCACACCAGTAATGTTTTTTTTTCTAAGCACGGTTATAAAAATTGCTTAAATGTCCTAATTGAACTATGGCCTAATCCTGGCTTAGTCTAAGCCCTGTCTGTGAAACCGGGCCTTAATGTTGTTGGGGAAATAAGCATACACATTAGTTAAGATTCTACAGTCTGGATCTACTTTTTTAGACTTCTTTATTTTGCGACTTAGAATTAATCTAAAAATGAAGTAAATGTTTTGAAAATTGTTTTCAACATCTTCATAAACTTTGTCTAATCCAGTCATTACTATATTTTTATAGCATTATGTACTATAGTATATATTACAATATATTTTGTTTAAACGATCAGGCCTGTGAAGAAAATCAAGTCCTGACCAACAACCAGACAGAGACCAGTGAAAATGACTGAGGAAGGTAATGCCTCAACAAAACCATTTACTTACCATAATTTCCTGCTATACAGGGTATATTAAAGACGTTTAAGTGACTTTTTCCTCTTCTGAAGGGTCTAGACACGAGGACCAAATTGCCTTAGAAGAGTCGTCTGTTATGGTGAGGCTGGGTCCTAACAGGTGATTTACTCAGACATAAACAAAAGCTAGCTTTTTAAGTCACATCAGCCATTTATTTGGTTATTCAAATATTTGATTTCTGATTTATGGACATAAATTCCAATAATGTCTCTTATTTCACTCCATCTTTATTGTTGGTTATTTCACCCCATCATAGTGTTGATATGACAGAGGAGGAATTGGAGGTCAGTCCTGTTTGATTTAGATAAATACATACATGCATACATACATAAATGGACATTCGTACCATCAACGTGAAGTGATGGTTTTCAGTTCTCTTTAAAGTGTGGCATACCTTCATAATTCTGTTCCATGTAGATTCTCTTTTTTATCTAAATAAATGTACTTTTATTTTTTTTATGGTATTTTTATTTTACTTTTAAATTGTATTTTTATTATTATTATTTAATTTAGCTTTTCGTTACTTTACAAACCCCCTGCACAGGCTGCTTTCTCTCAGCTGTCTCTGGCCTTTCGCTGTGACCAGTACACTGGAGATGGAGGAACACGCTCGGGACAATGCTGAGGACAACCTCAAACTGGAAGTGGAAAGAGGCATGGAAGTGCTCGAGGTACGACTACAGAATGAGAATTTTTTTTTTAATCATTGCTTTTTTGGATTTAGCCTATGCCAATTCTAGATTTGTATTTTTGTCACTAGACACTCAAGGGAATGTGTTTAGATATCAAACGTGCCGGGCTTCTCCGGCATCTTGTGTTGTCTCTTAACATTATCGGAGGCACCATCGGACGAATCTCCAAGACAGCAGAGGTTCTTGGGGCTGTGCATCAGGTATCGGTCGATACTAACCCTTTAGACTGGTGGTTTAATAAATATTTTAATATGTTAAATCCCATTCTGTTTCTGTGAGAAGGAGGCTAAAGTGAGCCGTGCAGTGGAACTCATGGTGGCTCATGTGGAGAACCTGAAGCGCCGTCACGTGAGGAACAGCGTTGAACAGGAGGAGATGAAGAAACAGATGCAAGCAGAGGGGTAGGAAAACACCCATTTAGTTCTTTCACAATGTTAAAGTTATGATGCATCCACTAGCATTTTGGAAAAAATGTATCTGTGTCACTGCAGAGAAAATTGACGCTATTGAAAAGCTGGAAAAAAGACCTACAGAAGGTATTGACTGCATACTTGTTTGGCTTTCATTCTGAAAAATGATTTTGTTGTTTGTTTTCTTGGTTTAAGTAGATATATAAATAATTTATAGTTCGGATGTGAATTATATGATTTGTTTCGAGTATCATCAGATAATAATCTCTTTCTTTTGTCTCACTCTCAGCCACATACGGCGTAGAATCAGTACAAACATCATTGCAAAGCAAATCCAGGTCGGTGCACAATGATTCTCATTCATTCAATGACCACAATAAACTTCTAGTCTAAATTTAATTGAAGTGCACTTGTAATTTTCTTTTCTCTTTTATTCGAAGAGGCAAAAATTGAAGGAGTCAGAAGCTATATTATCTTCAGTGACCAGTGAGATTAGTGAAGAGATAAAATCAACCACACAGAAACCTGACCACACAGATGACTGCCAAATGAACAGAGGGTAATTTGGATACATTTGTATATTTATAGTTGCAATGTAACAGAAATAGTGACATATCTTCTCTTCTGTATAGACAGCTGCAGGGATGATGTATTTTTGTAGGCCAAAACCCAGAAACAAAATAGCATTTTAGCACTTCCAGTTCTATCATCCTGAGGTCATTGGCCTTGTTTCACTGGGTTTTGGTTAACACAAGTTCAAGATATTTTCATGCTGTATTCTATGACCTAAAATATTTGAAAGATTTAAAGAGTAAAGATGTTTTTTTAAAGCTTTTACTTGTCTTGAAAAAGGCAGGTGCTAACAAGTGGTTAAATGGGACTGCAGAGGTTGTTAAATGCCATCACATTGCACTGGTTAACTCATCTAATAACTAGTCCACTTTCACAGCCTCATTGTGTTTATAATCGCACTCTTGCAAATTATTGTAACTCAAACTTTCAGAGTAAATAAAGACTGAAAGAGTTGTTGGCAGCTTAGTGATTGTGAAGTCATGCGATCGTGGTGTAGTTCATTTATAGTCTACATTTAGATTTTGACTTCTGCCAGTTGTATTTACATCAAAATAAATAAAAGTTGTGTTCATTTGTGAACATTATAATGATGAACAGAATGTGTAAGAATAATAAACTTTTGTTGGTTTGAGCTTATTGTCCACAATAATCTAAAAGCCAGTGGAAAAATCCCATTGGATTTTTTGTCCAGGGTACCAGTGTGATGCTAACTTCCAGGTTGGCCTACAAAAATACATCATCACTGTAGTGATGTACATCTGAGTGAAACAGATTATCGAACAAATAGAGGCTAGAGACTTGATTCAGTTTACATGAATGAGCCATTAACAATAAAATCAATAACATTTATAAAATAGATAAGGTGAATTTTAATTTCATGACAACTTTGTTAACATGAAATCAAATGTGAACCTATTGACTGACTTTATACAGATTTCTAATGGATAAAATCAAGTCCTGTCTTACATTTTTTTTCTTGTTTCATATCCTGTTTTACTTGGGAATACATAACATTTTGGAAATGAATTGGGTTGTGAATGATGTTTTATGCTGAAATACTACAGTATGAGTGTGATTAATAACCACATCCAAAGTCTCACATTTCCATAGGCAAGTAGTACCTCAAGATGACAGTCCCTCACAAACTGTCACGGTGGATGCTACTGAGGAGACATCCTCTGCCCAGATTCATCCCAATCAGACTCTGAGGCTTGAACTGGACCCCGCCTTTGTAAAAAAGTAGGTAAAAGTTTTAAATCTGAAAGTGCACCGTGTATAAAATTATTGTCTCTCAAAAGAAAGAGTCGATTCTGAATCATTGAAATGAGTCGTTTTTAAAACGAATCCCAAGCCGTTTCATATTGACGTCAACATGAAACATTAGCATATTGCCCGCCCACTTGTTGGTCGTTTTGCGTTGGTCTGAATGAAAATGCAAATTAATTTTGTGCCACTAGGTGCCGCTTTTAGAGCGGTAAAAATAGCGGTTTCCCCGGTAACGCTGTACACAAAGCAGCACTGCGCTCACAAACGCTGCTTTATCAGGCATTACAGGCGTGATGAAATGAAAATGAGACCAATCGGACCAATCACTGCAGATTAGCGTCACGCAAAGGAGGGGTTTGGAAAAATTAATTGTTAAAGGGATCGTTTGGGAGTCGTTGAGCAAGTAAGGTAAAAATAAATGCATATTATA